CAAAAAACTTTTATTAATTAGGAGGGATTTGACTGTCTTTTTACTGGATAAAACTTTTTATTGTTCCTCAAAAAATTATAATCGGAATTCAGTTTTTTAGACATAATTCTTTGGTTAACGGCTCACTCGCCCCCATACTTGTTGGCTGGTAGTAGAATGGTCACTAAATGGTAGGCCTAATCAGAGGGTTAAACTACATTGTCGAGGTATACAATTGCATAATTTAAGCTTAAAATGTTCCCCTTTTAAGCACCATAGTATTTTTGGCCCTTTGATGAGAGAGAGATAACTATATTTATTCATATATTTAAAGTTGACCTTGGATTTCTTTGGTTTGTTTTGGCAACAAACCTTTTTTGTCCTTAATTACTATTGCTGTGATCATTAATGCCTTTATGTGCCATAATCAATCATGATGCTTAACGTGAATGAAGTATAGAAGCCATGGGGCTATTCATTATATAGTTATATAATATTTTACAAGGACAGCACATTCAGTTTGATCATGCCTCTTCCTTTGAAGCCTGGAATACATAAAGAACACATATTTTGTTAAGAAACACATTCAGTAAAAATAATTACTTGACACACCTGTATGGTAATTAGCCATCAAAGTTTGTTTATAAAGGACTTGGTTAGCATATATAGGTTCCTATGAGCAGTTTGTAGTTAATCAAATTAGTTACCAAATTTGATATTGTTTTAATTCTTTCCTGTTTGGTGCAATAATACAAAAACAAACACAAATTCTTCATTAGGATACGTTTCATTTAATTTTTTTTATAAGCTAGGCTTAGGCTAGGACCATGATGACATCTAAGGGCCCGTTTGAGCGAAAAATGCAAACCGTATTCCGGTGAATTCACCGGTTAATCGCGCCGAGCACACAGCGGGTGGTCCACTGTTCGCGCAAATTTTAGCTCATGTCGAAACTATTCCGGAAGTAATTTTGTAAGTTCATTCAGAAACACCAATCCCATCAACCCATTCTCTTCTGCTTGCTTAAACCAGGGAGTTGTTATAGTGTCACTATAACAACTCCCTGCTTAAACGATACGCAGGAACGATTTGTATTGAAGTTTAATTCTCTGAATACTGTACTGTAATGGTAATTTTACAAATTGAACGTGTAGCTATGCTACTAGCCACCATTATGGCTACAATGATGCAATGTTATGTGGATGGATTTACTGTCCAATCCAACTTTGATTTCGCCGTGAACACGAGGAGGCGAAGAAGAGCGCGACGACAGCAGGTACTTGCTGTGGACGAACCATTTGGCAAAGCAATTAAGGTTGATTTATCATCGTCTCCGGCTCCAAGGCCATCTCATACACGGAATTCTACCCAGCAATTTGGTGGTCAAAATTGTCGTGGATAATCCAGATGGTAAGGTAATTAGGCGCGTGTCCGAGCAGTTTTAGAAAGTGTGTACCGGTGAATTAACTGGAAAATCGCACGGATATTTTTTCGCTCGAACGGGCCCTAAGATTGATCTATCATCAGGGTAAGTGATCGGATCCTTAATGTTGAAGCTTGGCCCAGCTATGCACACATTTATGCCATCATTAGATACGTTAACTGATGATTTAAAATCGTCGTGTTCAAATTCAGTTTCATGAGATTTGAAATTGAACATGCAATTGACACCATGTATGCTTACCATCTTGTCATTGTGTGAAGTAAATTGTGATGGCAATGATGATGACGATGAAGATGATGATCATGGTAATGACGGTGACATTGATCATGGTGGTGATGATGATTGTAATGACAGCGGTGATGATAATGATTTAAAGGATAATGATAGTGATAATCAGGAGGATGACATACAATTAAATACTAAGCATCTGATTGGTTGAATTTGCAAGTGTAATTTTAATATTTTTGCAGTTGCATTAGACTAAAAATACCCCGGACATGATTTTGAACATTTGCCCTAGTCATAGTCATTTCATGTAAGAATTTGGGTGACATTAAGGAAGGAAATACATATGTAATGAATTGAGTGAAAGGACTAAGCATTATTTTAAGTGGTTAACCCTTTTAGCAACACTTATGTGAAGGGGCCCAATTATTAAAATGATTTTAAAACTCGTATTAGAACTAAAGTAGTGGCATGTTTTATTGCCAGTAAATTTTCAAGTTGAATTTGCATATTTAGAGAATTCATGGAAAAATTTTCTCAGAACAATGGCCCGTGGCTACAGTCAGATGCATAATTACTGTCTTCAAAAATATCCCAGATACAATTGTAGTTGTATTACATTGATCTCTCTACTTAGAAATTCAATTACCGCAAGCCATATTAATGGTATCTCTTTTCTGCAGCTTTTTTTTTTTCTAATTTCTCTTATGTCTTACAATGCCTGTTTGGCGCCAGCAATGTGGATTATTTTTACATGATACGGTTCAATTTGTTTTTATTAGTCTATGAACAATTCCTTTTTCTGTTCATTTCATTGATTAATTGCAAATTATGTTGAAATTTTAATCAGATTAAAAAGTATGTTTTTTCATTGCTTATGAGAAACCAGTAATTTACTGATGTACTTAAAATTTCTGAAAGCAATAAGGTTTTAAGTGCAGCTTTGTGAATAATGGGAGTTGCCAAGTATAATATAAACTCTGATTTATCTACAGTGCCCAAAAATATCAATTCTGTAATCATTTAATCTAGATGGTGTCTAGTAAATTTGACTTTGATAATGTATTTTGAACATGATAAATTCACAATATATTGATATTGTTAGTAAGCAATTTATATAGCACCTTTTCTTTTGGTTACAAATCCATATTTACTAACCCCATGTCATTGGGTCCACATGCTTAAGTGTTGCTGCCATATCAGCTCAGTAGCAGGCCACCCCATCAGAAACCCATAACATATCCCCCTACTCATCTCGAAGGATGTACTGGGTTCTTTATAGTGCACACGAGCCAATGTATACACTGGGCCTACGGTTTATAGTCCTTATTCGAGAAGACTTGTTCTACCACCAGAACCATAGGTGAGCGTGCCGTTCGAACCAGCGCCGATATTTTGGCTATATCTTGCTGCGCCCATGCTTACCGCTCTGCCATTTGACTCAATGAAAGGGATAGGGATTAGGGACAATGTATCCGTTATATGTTGTAATGGCGCCACACTCTGGCTGCCGCGGGTTCGCAGGGGCCAAGCCAAAATTCCCAATTTCAAATATTCGGAATTGAACAAAAAGGAAAATTTGATCATTTTCTTTATAAAGAAGGTTGAAATTGAAGTATACTCCTTGACAATAGTATAAAGTGTACTGCCATGGATAATTCATTTCTATCATTTATTCATTTTTGCCTGTTGCAGAGCGTGTTAATCCTACATAAAATTTAATCTGCCAATTACCAGTCAAATTTGTTGCAAATGACTAAAAAATGTACCAGGAATTACCCAGAAGACGTATGGATATTTTTGTACTAGAACAGATCCAAAAGAGAACATTCAATTTTGGTATAACATTAAAAGAAATTGATATCAATACTCAGAAAGATCTCATTATGGGAAAACCAAGATGACATATACTACGATTTTTTTTTAATGAGTTTTGTTTATTTGATAGAAAACATTAGGACTTAAGTATTTCTGTGAAATTGATTTTGTCTCTAAAAAAATTTCAATTCAGAGGAAATTATGTCATATCATATATTATTGTATTTGATTGATTACAATACTGTAATATGCAATCCAAGGTGAAGCCTTACAAAACCAATTTTATGTCTGACATTGATTTATGGGAAAATGTCTTATGATACCATATTCGCTAATGCTTCTTTTGGTACAACCTTTTATCCTGTAAACATTTTAATGTTTTAGTTACCATTGTTTAAAAAAAAAAAACATGTTTATTGTTTTTTATAAATCATGGATGATCGTCAAAAACACTTAAGATTTAAAACAACACAATGTCTTTAATGTATCATAGATAGTCCGTTACAGACTGGATTTTGTAATTCATTCAAAATAAAATTATTTTCTTTGGCCACAGTGTGGATTTATAATATGTGTCTACACAGGGAACCTTATATTTATTTTTTCTTACTGTGCAGTATATCTAGAGTTATATTACAGCATAGGTAAACAAATGAAATACCAAGTTGACATATAACAAAACATATATCTTTTAGTTTTCACGAATAATTCGGTCACACCTGCGACCTTTCTCAACGTGTAAAATGTATAATAATGTACATTTACTGATAGTGGTATATATGTTTTTAATTATTCAAATTGAGAACATATATCTACTATGTATTTCTAGCATTAGCATAGAGATTTATTATTCCTATTCATTTTTTCCACGTGGTAGACATTTCATCAATACTCATGGAGCCAGTAGTTGATCATGCTTTTTAATACTCAACCTGATGTTATTGTTGGTAAAATAGAAAAGCTGATTTAATTGTTTATTAGATGTTTTCATATGTAAATTATTTGAATATGTTTTCTATAATACTAGATATATAAAAAGCAGTATAAAGCTGAAATAGCAAGCCAAGTAAAAGTATATTTCTCGTCTGAATTTTAAAAAGTATGAGGAACTTAATTTTATAATTGGCCAAAAGCATTTTCAGATTAGATCATGTTAGTAATACTATATAAATGTTAAATATTATTAAATTGTTAATATTAATATTATTATTATTATCATCATTTATAATTGCAATTCTTGCACTTTTAATTAATTTAATTTGTTATTTGTTATACTGACATAGTGTGCATTCAAGGATCTTTAAAATATGGCTGTAGACATTTAACTGGTAAAAAGCCTATTTGTTAACACAGCATTTTTTTCTCTTTCAAAATTTTAATTATAAATAACTTACTTAACTATACAAATTAAGTAATTAAAATATCTGGCTCACGACATTATTAATATAAAAGGAGCAATTTTAAACATTCTGTCTAAAAATTCTAATGAAAAAAAAAATGATTTACTTATTTTTTTTTAATATTTTTATTTCAGCTTTTCTACAAGGCCTCTAATATGGATCTTCCATTGCTAGATCTTGCTGAAGCCGGAGATCCAAAGGTGACGATTGTTGGTGATTTGGTTATTGGGATTGAGGATGTCGAGGACTTAGATCCAATCACCTTCCGAACGCCTGAGTCAGTTTTAGTTGTCCCTAAGTGGGAGGCACGTGTAAGTACTTCATAAATAATTTTTATGTGTTTAGTTTGTCTAATAAACATTTAGTTTTTTGTGCAGACAACAATGAATGATACTTATGTCGATGTTGATATTATTTAGTTTACCAGCATTTAATAATATTTTCAATTATAATGTTTTATTATGTCTATGTCTGTGTGGTTTGTTTTTTTTTACCATTATACAGTGGTGGTTTGTCCTATCTCCCAATTGGTCAGACTGATATGCCTCTACTGTATGTGTTGTGCCATTTTTGGAACAAAAATAATATGAAACTACATCCAGATAAATAATGTATCTGGATTCTCAGAAATCATGAATAGTCTTTGGCTACGTTCAGACTTGGATATAAGCCAGGCTTGAGTTAAGCCGGGCTCAACGTTAAGCCCGGCTTAACTTTGCCGGGCATTCAGACTAGCGGGTTTAGCCAGGCGAGAATTTGCATAATAATGAACCGTAACCAGGAAACGTGTTTCAAAACATTGCTCGCGAAATGTAAGCTCGCTCATAGCATACGTAATTGAATGCTGATTGGTCATTTCGTCACCTGAAGTCAATGCAAGACCCCCCGCAATGATTAAAGCCTGGCTTAAACACGGTGGCGCGCCAGGCCTAGTTACTATAGGACACAGCCCAGCTTGAGATAAGCCACCTAGTTCAAACTAGCAGGTGGATAAACCCGGTGAGTTAAGCCGGGTTTATCCACCTAGTCTGAACTAGGCCTTAATTACCCCATAGTGTTTAAATTGAGCACTCTCTTTAGTCTCCAGCACCCCTTGTTCTGTGCAAGTAAATGTGTGAATCCTCTGGGCTTACTTGCTACAGTGCACATCTCCCTTTCTTTGAGCTAGACTGTGCAATATTTTGGTCAGAATACCACTTCTCTGTTATCATTCTTGTTCAGCTCCCCAGCATATGCCGGTACCCATTTATCCTCTTGGATAGAGAGACAAACATAGGTAGCTTCTTCCGCAAGGACACAAGTGTCTTGTACAAGAGTGGTTTGAACCCTTGACTTCAAGATTTAGAATTTGTGAGTCTCCCATAAAAATATGTTATCAATATTTTTTTTAAACAAGTGGATTTAAAAATGAGATAGGGACGCCCCAAAATTACTGTTGAGTTGGGCCTCCTAAAAAAAAAATACATGTAAATAAATGCAAATAGATTTTAACTGTAACTATAAGAACTATTTTACAGGGCTGTACAGTGAGATCATGTAGGTTAATTGAAGATTCTTTTGATGAGGTGAATATACTGTATATTAATTAAGGCAAGCATGCAGACATACAGGCAAAGGCAGCCTGCAAACAGGCAGTTTTGCATGTAGAAAGGAAAAATAATTGGATTTTTTTTTTTTTTTTGGCTTTAAAGCTTTGCTGAATTTTATTCCCTGAAGCATGGGTTGTGGGACTCAATATGGATTTGTTTTTAAAATAAGTTGAAAATTATCCTGTTCTTTAAATATATATTTATTACCTCTTCATTCATGGAAAACAAGGTCTCTTTAGACTTCTGATCTGTTTCTTTATTATACCATATATGGTAAATTTCATTCTAATCTACTTCTTTATTATACCGTGTAAATTTCACATTAATATACATGTTAATTAAGTGCAGTTGGCTGTGCATGGTGGTTGCTTTAGGGCAATATAATGTTTTATGGACATCGCATACATTCTGCATCAGTAGAATATCTCTTTCATCTTTTTCATATTCCTGAATACATGTATTGTTCATAGATCAAAATTTCAACTACCGTATATATGAACGACTCAAGTTTTGTTTAGCAGTGTTGTTCCAGTATACATCGGATGAAAATTGGCTACAAAGCCTCAGTGGCCTGGTGGTGTAACAGAATAATGCGAAAGACAAAAACCAAATTTGTGTCATGTTTCGGGAGAATTTTTTTTTCTTATTCTCATTTCTACTATTACTATTATTTTTTTTTAAATTTTTATCGTAACTATCACACACACAGCAATGTTATTACAGAAAGTCAATTGTGCCACATTCTATTCACATGCATAAAAAAGTAAATTTCTAACCTTTTCACGTCAAATTTTACCAAATTTTAACTGTTTTAACTTTAAAATTGCAGTGGTTTTACGATTTTTATTGTTAAATTTTTAATGTTATCACTTTTTTTACTTGGTTTTGCTGTTTTTTGTGCACTATATATCCTCTGCAGTTTTAATTTTCGTCTTTCCTAAATGTTGTGTTTTTAAATTTTAAAGCTGTACAACCAAAATTTTGTTTATATGAGGACAAATAAAATTTCTTGTATCATGTTTGTTGCTGTTGTTGTCATTATTATTATTATTATTATTATTATGTTACTAAAACTGAACTTAAGGGGAACTTAGACAATGGAGAAATTAGAGAAAAATTTTTAAAAATGACGTTAAAGGGAAAGTAACATGATGTTAAGGGGAAAATAACAAAAAAGATATTCTCCTTAAGTCCGATTTAGAGAAATTATAATTATTATTATTATTATTATTATTATTATTGTTATTATTATTATTTTTATTGTTATTATTATTATATTTATTTAGCATTACTGGAAGATATAAAGTGTGGAAGACTTCCATTCCACCCTAGCTTGTACTCTCATCCCTACAATATTTATAATTTATATATTTTTTATCAGGAGTACAGCAAGGTGGTTTGGAATTTGTATTATTGATATTTTTTCACAGCTGATATCTTTCTAATGGAAATTCTGATTGCAGTGTTGTTTTTACAATGTGTTTATTTAAAGTAATGTGTGATTGTTTATCATGATAGTCATGTCAGCTACTCTCATCTATCCGAATTTGTTGTTTTTATTTTTTCTGCATCTATGAAAAGCATGTTCCTTAAAGCTAGAGACTTCGTGATTATGGCATCTCCGAAACTTAGAAACCAAATATAATTTTCTTTACATTTCTATTTAAAGAAATTTTCAGCAATTTAGTGAGGGTGGGGGGTGGGAGGGCTGTTCCGGCCGGGCCCACCTCCTTGAATCTGCCACTGACTTGGTTGGTAATGAATATTTTCCTTTATATCCATCACTAGAATTGGTTGAAGTGTTTTAATGTAACATGCATGAATATATTTATGTAGCATGCAACTAATGAAGTCATATTTTTATTTAATGCATGCATGTGGCTGCTCGTATATTTTACCAGTTTTATACTCGCATTTTTTTCAAAGATTACAAATTTATATATGAGAGGTTTGATTGATTAGTTTTTCCAGACATTTTCTACAGTAAATATTTTTTACCCCCTTCCTCCTCCCCCTCCTTTCATTTAATACACTTGACATTTTCCATGTTTTGGTTTAGATAAATTCTTAAACTATGGTACGACAAAACAATAAAACAAACAATAAATGAAAGACTGGAACAAGGAGCATGTTTCCCTCTCCCATATGACCAGGTCTACAGAACAGTATGTTTTATATTTTTATCTAAAAACTATAGCAACATAAGGCCAAGTGAATAAAAGTAGTTTCTTGTCCTAATATTTTGGGAAAATGAGAATGAGGGGAAAATGAGAATGAGGGCATGGGAAATCCAAGCAGGTTGATGGAAAACAGCTATTATTTTATCACTTTTACCAAGTAGACATATTTAATGGAAATAAAAGAAGCAATAGGCCTGGACATACCATGTATCCCCAACCAAAAACAATCAAGAGAATTTTTTCTGATGCGAATTAGCCATATTTTCATACATTTCTTAAAATAAAGAAAATTTAAAAAAAATTAAAATAAAAATTTTAAAATGGTGAGCCAGAAAAAATGGATGCACGAGGGGATGAGAAACTAGTAATTATTTTTAAATAAATTAAATAATTAAAATATTTCTGTATGTCATATGAATCTACTATGAGAAAAAATGAAAATAAATGACTAATTTAAAATCACTTGAAAATGTTATACTCTTAAGTGTCATAATGGATTGTGTTACAAGTGTGTTAAGCATTTGTAAATTAACCATTTAAATATCTTAATTTAAATAGAATGGTGAAGGTTTTTGCAGTAAGCTTATACTTGAAAGTAATATATCTTATATTTCAGTTTAGCTCTTACAAACTCTCTGCTGCTTTAAAGCTTACTTTCAACTCGTCTGAACATGCCTTATGTCTTTAAAATTTGCCATTCAAATGAATATGCATATGTTACTCTAGGTATGTAATTTTATTTTATTCTAATTTATTTTAATAATTTATAGGCACTTAAAAGAAATCACAAAAATTAAAGTAGTAGAACTTAGGATTAACAGAAATATATGATTCACTATAAAAAATGGTCAAATCGTCATATCACACTCTGACCATAATCAATACAAAAATACACAACCATTGACAAAAATCTGGGGTACAATTTGAATGGGGAAGGGAATGAAGAAATTGTCTTACTAAAACTATGGTGTATATAATATATATACCGTACTTGCGCGTAAGGCGTGTTTTCAAACGGGGCTCTAATGAAAACTGGAAATTAAGGGGGCGCTTATGGAAATAAAACGAACGAACGAGGGGTTCTTATGGGAACTTATTAAATTCAAGAGGCACTTTTTGAATGAAAAACGAGTATATAAGGACATTATGAATGGTGGTGCGGCGGAAAGATAATCGTCCAGAGAACATGGCTAATGACAAGAATGCTGAGAATATTTACATAACAGCAGAATAGCAGATGCAATTAGTGGTGGTGGGTAATGGTTAGCTTGTTGGCCATCGGCCGATTGAGTTAGCAGAATTATTGCAGGCTTTCTTGAAAACTCAGATGAGAATGTGCTAAAGGTGCAAATTGTCGGGAAAAGAAAAAGAGGAGTATGACTAGGCCTAGACAAATATGTAAGAAGAGGAAAGTTGAAAATGTACTGTCTGTCCAGGGATCGGGGCTCTATCTGTCCCAAGAGAAATATCCTCATTTTGATATTGACCTAAGAAGAATGTGATTCCACTCTGCAGCTCAAATCCTGCCAACAACCACAGTCCCAGGATTGATTGGATTATTGACTTGCTAAAAATAAAATCTTATAATATTATTGAGGGGGCGCTTATTAAAATTAGAAGTGGGCGCTTATTCAAACGAGCGCTTAAGGAAAATTTCTCATTAGGAAGGGGCGCTTATTCAAACAGGGCACTTATACACACAAGTACGGTAATATGGTAAATTCTTGAGTTTCTAGACATAACAACACTACACTTTTTGGATCTATTAAGAAACTGCATTATTTATATTTTATCAATGTGGATTTCAATGGATCTGTTAAATCGTGTTCAATTAAAAGCATTGTTTAATTTTTAAAGTAGAGGAAAGAGATATTGCCACCTGATATTAAGCATCATAAAGTGTACTTATTAAATTATACAAATCAATATTCACAATTATGGATAAAGTAGAAACAACTATTAAATATTTTTGCATGTGTCTATATAAAAAAAAATAGAATGGGACTTTTCACAGGTTAAAAGGTTACTGGGAATTGTGAATAAATAGAAGTTGCAAAGTACTTGGCCAGGGTTGGATTTTGGGGAGATATAAAAGCCCTAAGAATTTTCATGTTGGTATATTAAATATATAACCTTGTTGATGGCAGTAATGAAAATTTTAGGGTCTATATTTTGGCCATAATTTCAGAACATAGTTTCTCCAGCTAATAAAACAATAGATATACGATTCAATAAAAATCATAGGCACTTGTTTTTCCATATAGGTGCAGTTGTCATGTAGTAGTAAAACTTACATGTAGCACAAATCAACAAATACATGCTGTTTTTCATCATGGCCGTGAGAAACCTTCCAATTACGTTCATTATATAACACATTACATTATGATCATACAAAAGCAAAAGTCCATGATAGCTAAATTTCTTATTAACAAATTATTTTCGGACATTTAGTTATAATTTTGTAGCACATTACTTCTGGCTAATGCAAATTCAGCAGTTAAAATAATTTAAAGCTTTGAATAGCTGTATGAATGATAATTACTAGTAATGTTAACAGAAATTTGATTTGAGAGAAGTAACAGATCTTGCATTCAAGCTATATGCTACCAGATTATTAGTCTGTTGAGGATTTAGTTACATCCATATATCTACATGTACCATATAGGTTCCTGAAGTTAATAAAAGAATAAGAAAACACATTTGAGATTAATGTCGTGTATGTGTGGTGTAAATATATACTTTATCGGTGATTTTGTAATTTGTTTTACATTAAAACAACTGTGGGCCTGTGACACTAAAGTCTGATCTATCCGGTATCAATCTGGGTACTGTTTCTTTCCTAGTCTCCTTGAAATATTTTATGTTGTGTGTATATTATGGATTCTCTTTGTCATTACATTTTTCTTTAAGAAGCACAAGAAGACAATTGAATTTGTGATCCAAATAATATTTGTATTATTTTTTGTTATTGCATTTCTACATATATTTCTATATATATATTTGCTAGTTAAGAGTTCTTTTTTCCTCTGGTTGATGGTCGTAGAGGCTGATAATACCAGTGGTGTATCTAGGAATCTTGAAATGGGAGTGTAAAGATTATGTGGGGGCTCAATGATTAGGTAAAGGGTGCTAGATCGCAAAATGAGGTGATTTCAGGTTATTATTTGAGTGTGATTTTGGGGTGGGGTGTCTGGGGTGGGGGAATTAGTATTTTGGTGGGGTGGGGGAAGGTGCATGACCCGCATAATACTTAAATGATAATAATATCCAAAGATTTATTTTCCTTTTATTTTCACAGGTAAATGGTGCATCATTGTCATTCAGTTTCCGAACTATTGAGCCAAATGGACTTCTAATGTACAGTATGGGGTCCGAGACCAACGGAGACTTCTTTGGTGTTGAACTGTTTGAAGGTCGTTTATTTGTTATCATCAATTTGGGCGGTGGTATAACACGTTTCATGCCTTATAGTAAATTATTTAACGACGGCTATTGGCATAATGTTGTCATAACAAGAATGGGAGTCGCTACAAAAGTCCAGGTAAGTTTTTAATAGGAAAACAAGGGAAAAGAACTTCCCTTTAGGGTGTGTTTTTTCTGAATAACGCCAAAAACACATGTTTTTTTAAACAGTTAAATTCCTTTAGAACGTGTTTCAAGTGAAAAGTGCAATGGCAAGTGGGCGGAGCTTACAATAACGATCACCAACAGAAGTTGAACTTTGACTTTTGTCCTGCAAGCTACAGCGCATGCTGCAAAGAAGTAAACAACACACCGCGAAAATATGAAAAAATGATGGTAACACCTCAAGCATGTCATCCTGTTGCTTTATTTTTTGTTCTTCGCCCCGAATTTCCTGCGGACGAGCGATCAAACCAACAAAGAGGTCAATTTGAGCCACTGACAGTTCATGACTAACACGGTATTTCATTGCAGCTGAAAAGTGTACCACAAAACACGTTTTCTGAATGCCAACCCTATAACGAATACATGTTAAAATGCATTCCATAACTATTTTTTGTTTTTTTGCCCCATTTCTGCTGGGGAAAAAACACATGTTTTTTAATAACTGTTTAAAAACACATGTTTTTTTGCTCAGCAGAAA